ATGATTGCAGATGATACTCCACGAAAGCAAAAATTCGTTGCAAGGATAAATTTTAAAAATATGTATATGCAAAGCAAACCTGAAAGGATTGAGCGCATCCAAGTTCGGAGGAGGATCACATCGCGAATAAACTTCTGCCAACGCGACTGGTAAGGTACTTCGATCCAGTGTGTGCTGATCAACCAACATGGAACTTTTAAAGGGTTTTCTCATTTGCAGTTCGCCAAGACTAGCTGAAATTGATTCCAATAAGTGGCCATTTTTACCGTATGAGCTAGATGGTACTTTGTCAATCTAGTAAGACAGCGAATTAGCTAGATGAAAAGAGAGAGAGCTTACCTTGTTCCGTAGTTGAATCCAGTTTCGACACTTTTTCCGTGAGGTTCGCTATCCGCTTTTCAAGAGTATTTGATTTATGATCCAGCTTCATCGCTTCCAAGTAGATTTCACCAAAGATATGCTCAGCATGCTTACTAATGGAGCTTAGTTGCCTGATCAGATTTGCCAGAGAACTATTCGCCACATATTGGAGTTCCCCATTGGTCACTTCCGGTGGTATTTTTACCCGACTGAGGTCTACTGGCGAGACTGCCCGCTTGACCAGCGGCATCTAAAATACGATTTAATAAATTATAGGAAATGAAACATATAACAGGAAACGTAAACAGAGTCTTAGACAGACGGTCAAAATCTTTTCCACATTTCATATCGTATGGAACAAATAGTGGTAAGAAGGCAATGCTGCTGTTTCTTTGGCTTCATATAAGAAAATTAGAGCCTTCTTGATGATAGAATTGCCAGCTATCTTTTATGCTAGACTACAGAATGTGACAAGCGAACTGAATATGAAAAGATCTGCACATGAATAGAATTCGGACAAATCGATGAAATCGGGCCGATACATCATAATAAAAGCTGACAGAACATCGCGCAAAAGTGAAAAAGGTCTGAACTATGAGATAGATGACAGTTACGATAACGAACTATCTTGCTTCAAAGTAAAACCGAGAAAGAATAACTGTGACAAAAATTAATCTTATTTTTGATTATAATTACCCCAAAAGTCCGAAAAATAGATAGATAACTCGTCCTGCGCTATTTTGAAAATAAAATTGGAAGTAGGATTGAGAGCCAATAGCTACATTCATGCAAATGAAGTCCAAAGGCAATGAAGTGTAAAATTTAATAACATCATCAGCACTAACAAGAAAGTGGAAGCCTAGAGTAGGCTATTAGCCGGCAGCAAAAAGGGAAATACGGTTGTTAAAGCCACTTTATAGCCTTTTACTACGGACGTTAATTTGACACAATTACAAATAGTTTACTGCTAACACAAGTCCTATGTTTCGTA